GTCTGTCTGTCTGTCTGTCTGTCTGTCTGTCTGTCTATCTATCTATCTATCTATCTATCTATCTGTCTGTCTGTCTGTCTGTCTGTCTGTCTGTCTGTCTATCTATCTATCTATCTATCTATCTATCTGTCTGTCTGTCTGTCTGTCTGTCTGTCTGTCTGTCTATCTATCTATCTGTCCGTCTATCTATCTATCCATCCATCCATCCATCCATCCATCCATCCATCTATCTATCTATCTATATATCTGTCCGTCTATCTATCTATCCATCCATCCATCTATCTATCTATCTATCTATCTATCTATCTATCTATCTATCTATCTATCTATCTATCTATCTATCTATCTATCTATCTATCTATCTATCTATCTATCTATCTATCTATCTATCTATCTGTCCGTCCGTCCATCCATCTATCTATCTGTCCGTCTATCCATTTATCTATCTATCCATCCTGCCATCTATCTATCTGTCCGTCTATCCATCTATCTATCTATCTATCTATCTATCTATCTATCTATCTATCTATCTATCTATCTATCTATCTATCTATCTATCTATCTATCTATCTGTCTGTCTCTCTGTCTGTCTGACAAGAAATAATGAATAATGGGTAAATTAGTGTGTATTCATCTACAAAACCTACTACAAAAAAACTTCTACAAGCGCCACTGATTTGATGACAAGATTTTGTTGCGGGGTCTAATTTCAGCACATTTACAATTTTTCCTTCTCTTTCATCTTGTTTAATCAATAATAGATGATAAAATACTTCAGAACATCTTTGAAAATGCAGTTTTCCAATCATGTGAGTCTTGCATTAAAGGAGAGTGGATATGTGCTTTGATCATTGCTGTATAGCATTTAAAATAACATCTTACAAGCTCACGTGCATCTAGGCAGTGAAACGGCGCCTCTAGGGGGGGAGAATGAAATTCGGAAATGGAGAGACCAATCACCAACCAATCACATTGACAGACAGACAGACAAAAAAGACAAATCAGCCTCGGTACAGAGGAGAAAGAGGGTTGGGGGGTGGGGGACAAATGGCGAACGCCTTCACCCAACCCAACTGTGGCGTAAACACGACCTCACCTCTCCCCGAACGTCACCACATCCGACCCCACCAGGGGGCGTGAGGGAGCAGGACAGGAAGGGGAAGGATGTGGGAGGTGGGGTGGGGGGGCTCTGAACTCTCACCTGGTCTTACACCTGCCAGCATGGGCAGCGGGTGATGGCTGAACGGCATGCGTGCAGACCTCGTATGGCCGGACAGAGCGCTGAAATCGAATTTCCCCGACTTCTTAAGAGAACCAGGCGACGAGAGTCCTGGTAAAAATGGGATCAACAAAATGGCAGAACAGAGATGTGGATTTAATCAAACAGGGTTTTTGCTTCTTGAGCTTCATCTAAAAAAAATGATCTTATCCATCTCAGCTTCTAAAATTCTACAAATTTGCTGATAATAATACAAAAAAATTGATCTTTTAATCTACAGCTAATGTAAGGGCTTTTTTGTTTCCTGTGAAATATAGAGAAGCCAGTCACAGTGCAAATCCTTATTCCTTATTTTCCAGTAAAAACACATTTAACAATAAGTATTTGCCAATGAGGTACAAAAATAAACTTAAATAAAAAGGAAAATAAATGCATTTTTCTTACCCCACTGTCAAAAATATATATTAAGCATAAACTTCACTAAATGTAAATAAGATTTTTCTTATTTTGATTCAAGTAAATGCATCTTGTTTTAAGGATGTTAATATAATTATACTGGAAAACAAGGTGAAACACTGCTTAAGGACTGTGTTTTTGCAGCGCCGACAGGTCCAGGGTGCGAGCTTTACTTTGAAGCAGTGGAGTGCAGGAAAGAGTGGGATAGGGGTCGGGACAGGGCCGGGAAGGGTCTCTACGTAGCTGTAAGCGGGAAAATAGATGCCACGACAGCAGATCCCATAGTAACTCATGTCTGTCTGTCTGTCTCTTTCAAAACACCAAATCTCAAAGGAAATAGTACAGTGTCAAAGCATGAAAGTCACATGCATAACAAACAGCATTTGCCACTATTTCTCACAGTTGTTACAGAGACGTTGTCAATTTCCTAGGATATATTAAAAAAAAAGAACAACTAGTGATATATCAATGCATACGCTACAGTTTAATACACAAACACTTGAGAGTACTATACAAACACTTGAGAGCGTCATAATGCAAAACAAACTAAACAAAGTCTGCTAAAACCGAACATCACAGAGTAAACATATTTAGTTTAATAACTTGTCTATTTTATGTGAATGTGTGTTCAGATTGACTCCAGAATTTCAATATACCCAAGAAACCGCATTAGTAATGCCAAACTAACAGGACGACATGTCTTCACAAACCAAATGCAAATGAGTAAATAAACGTAAATGCTAGCTGTGTACAGACTCTGACATACAGACACTCTTAAACTTCACCTGGGGAACCAAATCAGAGGCTTTCACTTGACTTTTCAGCGCTGAGGGGAAAAAGTCAAACACAGGCGCTTCTGTTCCAGTGGCAGGTCCGAACGCTCACGCCAAAAACAGGAGGACAGGCGGGAAGCGTGATGTGAGAATGATGAGGGAAATGAAAGGTCTTCTCATATATAACGCCGCATTAATGTGTCGTCCTGATCCTATAAATGTCAAACTGAGGCCGCAGGGCTGCTAGCTTCAGCTGTCCTGAATATACGCCGGGCTCACCCAGTGACCCAGAAACACGGCCAAACATGTCAGGACTCGGGAAGGAAGGGAAAAGGGGTTTACCATCAAATCTTGTGGCTGGTTTTGGGGGAAACAATTATGCTAATTATGCTAATGTCACGTTTGAACAAATATCTGCCTCCCTGAAATAGTTAATATATATATATATATATATATATAGAGAGAGAGAGAGAGAGAGAGAGAGAGAATTTTTTGACAAATTAATTGCAAATTACAGATAAATGGATTAAAAAAAACATTGTGTGGTATTTCTTTCTTAGTGCATTTTAAAGTGCAAAGATTGGCAAATTTAAAAGCAACACGGTCTGCTGAAAAAAGTAGTGTTGTGCAATCCAACAAAGTGTGATATTTATACAAGGACACTGAGCATTAGTTTTGTTTTAAATAAACAAACCGCAAGATAAATCATTACTATGGCATCTATGTAGAGTTATTGTGGGAGAGTTAAACAAATGGTTCAAGTGGTTTCTTGTAAAGAAAAAAAAGGGCTTAATGTTTTAATATTAATTTTAATATAATAATTTATGTATAATATATATATATATATACACAAAAAATGTGTGTTACTAAATAAATATTATTCTTAATATTATAAGATAAGTGAGGTTGTGGCTACATCAAAACTACATATGCTACATATGCATCTCTGCAAGGAGCTGAAAATCACCACCAAACACACACTGTTTTTTTGCAGCTGACAGTTTCCATGACTTTGCATGCACACATTAGCCTGTGTGTGTGTGTGTGTGTGTGTGTGTGTTAAAGTCATGGGTTATGTGTTATTTCTCTGTGTCCCGAAGCTCAGGCAGACTGGCAGCCAATCAAACGCTCCTGTGCCCTTCCAGTCTCGCCACGCTAACAAGCTGGCCGCCAAACAAACCTTGACCTGTCAAAAAACGCCATACAGTATATAACACCTCCTCACACTACACACACTCTCTTGAACAGACACACATTCACTGTCCAACCATCAGAAAGTCCCACCTCTACAAGACACACAGAAAGCCACAAATCCAAGTACAGATCACTTCTACCATGAAATTACAGTAATAATACACTCGAGTTCCCAAGCCTTTCTCCTTGTGAACTTTTTCACTTGATTGATGCCAATTAAATAGATTTGAATAAGCATTTAATCATTGTATATTCACTACAAAAATCATGGCATTTTTCAGGTGATTGGTTTTTAAAAATATTTTTACATTCATTTTACACTAAAAAAGACTAATTACTTGCTAATTAAATAAGTTAAAGCCTTTTCAGTTGACTGACTGTTAAAAAATACTTTTCATTTATTTTACTCTAAAAATAAATAACTTGCCAATTAAATATTTTCGAGCATTTTAAAAAACAAGATATATTCAAAAATACACATTTCTATGACTGATGTGGTCAATCAATTTTCCCAAAATAATTTCACAGTCTTTTTACATTCAAAAAGTCCAATTCCCTGCCAATTATGTTATAATTAAATGGAAAATTTCATTACTTTAATCAATCTTTTAAATAAATTATAATTTCAGTCATTTTGCACTCAAAAAGACTAACTGCTTGCCTATAGACTATATATATATATATATATAACTATATATATATATATATATAGTTTTTAAACATGTTATAATTACAATGGAAACTTTCATTACTTTAATCAATCAATTTTTTAAAATAATTTTAGTCATTTTACATTCAAAAAGACTAACTGCTTTCCAAATAAATATATTTATTTTAAATAAGTTATCATTACAATGGAAACTTTCATTACTTTAATCAATAAATTTTTTTAATTAATTTCAGTCATTTTTCCATGGGTTTCCATGCCTGTGGGAACCCCGTTCACTGTCTGACCCTCTCAACGTCAACAAAACCGTCACAAACAGATGTTTACAGACAACGTGCCACAGTCTAACAAGGTGAAAGAGAGTGCAGGAGAATGAGAGATAGGAGGGGATGATATTCGTGTCTGCCCAGGGCGAGAGAAAGCGATCGGGGCGTATGAATGAAAGGCGAGTGGGTTCACAGGCTGCTGGTGTACGCCGGGTGACACCAGATTTAATGATAAATGACACCGTCACCTTGCAGCGTTGCCAGAGCCTCATTCAGGTAGTGAATCACCTTTGGAGCGTAGCGCGGTTCACACTCACACACGCGCTCGGAGCGCCACCACCGCCTTCATCGGCGTAACAGATGTCTTCTGTAACCCAGTAGCTCCCAACGCTGTCGACACATGGAGGAGCCATCTGGAGCAGAGCTCTGGTGCTCCACAGACTGTGTGTGTGTGTGTGTGTGTTTCAAGTGTTCAGGGGTGGGTGTAAATATGTGTGTGTGTTTGTTGTGTATTCCCATGACATCAGGAGCACCTGAGCATGCTGGCGTTGTTTTGGTGGGATTTACCCATGTTTCCCTAGATTAAGATCTGTGCGACTGTGTGTTGATCATGACGTGGGCGGCAGTGAATGTGATTAGAAGTAGGTGGACCCTCGGGCCTGAAACGTACCCTATGCAAGTACACAAGTTGTCGTTGTACACACACAGCATGCATTCTTACATTACTGTCGCTATTCCTGCATAATCTATTTTTGCGTACTCGAGGGGGTTCGTTTGAGTTACCTTCAAATGTCTGTGCCATTAAAGTCAATGTGAAATGCCCGGTCTGATGGATTTCAGAGAGAAACAGGATATGCAGCGAGATAACAAAACGTAAGCAGGTCTTTATTCATTTACCAGTGGTAAATAATTGGATAGTGAAACATTGTCTTGTCTCTGCATGACATAATAATAATAATAATAATAATAACAATAATACTTTCATTAAAAATCACATTGAACAATTGCATAAATATAAATAATAAATTCATAAAATATAAATATCATATAATGATCATTTTAAAATTTTAAATTAATGTATATAAAATACACATATTACATAAAAATATATAATAAATATATGATAGTAATATAATATGACAATTATACTAATAATAATAATATAGAATATATTGTAGAATATAATAAAATGTAAATTAAATATACATATTTTATACTACTAACAACAATAACATTTTGACAAAAAATAAATGCATAAATATAATAAATAATAAATGCATAAATCCATAAAATACACCAAATTATAATACACCATTGCATTTTTATTATTAATAATATTAATATTACTGTTACATTATATTAATATAATATATGTATATTATATATTTTATGTAATATGTATATTCTAAATATATTATATTACAGAATATATATATATATATATATATATATATGCTTAATTATATTGTTATATTACAGAATATATTATAAATAATAATGTAATAATATATAAATAATGTATGTTTATAATGTATAATAATTATAATAATAATTATTATTATTATTTCATAATAAGTATATATAACAAGATATTATTAGTATAGTAATAGTAATAATAAAATAATGTTTAAATAATATTATAAAATTAATGCATACAAAATATACAGTACATATTATATTCAAATATATATACATAATACTTCATTTTATTACTCCTTTATTTCTTAGGAATACTGTGCACTGACAAATTTTGTACAAAAAGACTAGGAAAGTCTATTAGTAAAGTAAATCAAAAAAATTATAATTTCAACAGTTAAACTAACTTGCTTGCTTCTCTTAAACCGTTGTGCTGGCCTGACAATAGCTGAGCTAAAAAAGAAAACTGACTGTAAGAGATGCATCTGCGGTGTCATGCTATGAATTGCGTTCTAACAACTTGTGGAACGCAATGAGGCGTGATATTGAGCTTGTGTTTGCATTTGCATCCTTGCATTGAGTATATTTCAGACGTTACAGCATATACTGGTTTGAAATCTCACAGGCGTGCTGAATAAACAGCTGAGATATTGCTTATAGCATGTAAAGCCCTTTAAGCACACACTAATTACAATAAATCCTGCATGAAAAAGAAACCAACAAAAACACTGAGTAAATATCGGGAAAGACCCGCTGTTGTACGCAACACAATAGCCATGTCTGTAAGTGTTTATGTTTTGGGAATGCTGTGGAAATCAGGATTTGGACTTCTGCTTCGGTCCATAGGGATCCTATATCAGAATCTAACACAAACAATGGATGTACGGAGAGACTTCTGACACACAAAACAAAATGAAAGCACATTCACAGGCCTCAAAACACCCGCCACCTCCGAGCACCGGAAAAAACAGCAAATCAGAGAGAAGAGCTGAGATGTGTGATGCAGCAGAGAGACAGAGATAAGAGACACATTTCAATACACTTGTGTGCATTATAATATGAGGGTAATGTGGTCTAACCATGGTAAGGAAACTGCACGCCATCGGTTTCGTGTTTTATCTTCCTCTCCTGCATACTGGCCAAATGGTGTTGCACTGAAAAACCCAAACAGGGGAAAATAATAGCGTTAACAATGACAAAGAGGGGGAGAGATTGAGGTAAATTGGAGAGATGGGAAAATTTGGGATGATTGTTAAATCATTATCAATACATAATCACTATTTACACTTAAGAAAACATCATATGCATGAGGTCAAAGACAGTATTGCTCACTATCTCCCAGAATCAACCCATACTAAGTGCACCAAAACAGTAGAGGTGAATGACACACACATCCCACAAACCATCCAATCAGCAGCTAAACTATGAGGGCTGCGGCAGAATATCAAATGAGCATTGGCTGCATCACAATTCACATACTATCCATACTAAGTACTATGCAATAAAAAAAATGACTGTGTCACAACTGGCATACCATCCATATTAAGTAGTACGCAAGTGAAAAATGAGTGTCAATTCAATACTATCCATACTAAGTACTATGCAAGCGAAAAACAAGTGTTAAAATTCACATACTATGCATACTTAGTATACAAGCTTAAAATTGGTGTCAATCTGCATACTAAGTAGTATACAAGTGAAAATGATTGTCAATTCACATACTATCCATACTAAGTAGTATGCAAGACAAAATAAGTGTCAATTTGCATACTAAGTAGTATGCAAGATAATGAGTGTCACAATTTACACACTATCCATACTAATTAGTATGCAAGCTAACAAGTATCACAATTTGTATACCATCCATATGAACTAATATGCAAGCTAAAAATTAGTGTCAATACGCATACTATCTATATTAAGTAGTATGCAAGCTAAAAAGGAGTGTGAATATGCATACTATTTATATTAAGTGGTATGCAGACTAAAAAGGAGTGTGAATTTACATACTATTCATTTTAAATAGTATGCACTCTAAAAGCGAATTTCAATTAGCATACTAGATGGTATATATCAAGTGCATTTGTGAAAGATAAGTATGCATTTGTGAAGATTTCTCCGATAATTTTGTCCACAACAAGTATGCAAAATGGGGTGCAGCCAATGCATTTTGGGTATCAAATCTAATGCGTCAGAGTTTTGATTTTGTGGTGTGAGTACAGGAAAATGTTTAACTATTTGCTGCTTTGATTTATTGAGGGAATGGTGCATGTTTAAGTGTCTGGTGTGAGGATACAGTTACATGTGACAGCAGCACTGCTCAATGAATTTCATCACCACATTCTGCCCATGCAACAAAACAATAAAGCTGCCTTTTCACACTTACAAAAAAAAAGATACCATAGTAACCATAGTTTCCACAAAAAAAAAAACGACTACAATCATGAGGTAAATTTGGATTTTCCATCACTGTCATCAAAAAAGCTTCTTGCACCAATTGAATTAAGTCCAATCCCATGATATTTTGGCAGACAATATGGTTACCATAGTACATTTTTCTTATGGACAGTCAAAACAAGAAGAAAAAAAACAACAACAAAATAAATCAGTAAAGAATAATACAAATAAAGGTCTTGATTATTAAAAAGCAGCACTATAAAGAGGAAAGGAGATGATTTAAGGTAGAACTACTCAAAAAGTATGTTGATATGGTAAAACGGTCTAGTTTATATGGTAAAATGCAATTAAAAAAAAACGTGTCGAAATTTTACAAAGAATTTCATTTTCTTCCCTTTTGTCTCTGTTTTGAGTTGATAAACTCAAAATGCCTAATCAAACTTGTATTCTTTAGTGCTTACGGCCTTTTATAAATAACATTTCAGTTTAAACTATAAAACATTACATATAAAATATTTCTTTAGCCCTAATTCTGTGAAGATCATCACATGCACGCATGAATTAAGAGCGATTTTAAGTGCTTTTAAGATTTTTAGTCAGCTGAGCCCCAAACAAGCTCAACTAACAGATCAATTAACATGCACATGATTCTAGCTATCCAATCGCAAGACTATTCAATGTTTGCCCCCGTCTACTGAGGTATGAGAAGATGGTGGGCAAGCACAGAGGAGAAAAACGAGAGAGAGGGAGCAAAAGAGAGCGATTAATGGGTTGATGGATAAAATGAAGGAACAGTCTGGCCCTTCACACAGCCCTTGTGTCCACTTATTCAGTGCATAAACGACTCAAACATGAGTCCCAATTGGATCTGATTATAGGTTCAGAGGTTAGTCAGAGTAGACGACATATTTCATTTGACGAAAACAAAAAACAAGCCTTTGAGGGACAATCATGCAGCATGTTTAACATTAAACGTCTATCCCTCAAAGTCTCTTTGTCAGCACAAGTATGGCGCTAACTCTGACTACACTATGTCGATTTTGATTGGTGCAGCACAATATAAACAAATATTTTTTTCAACAGCAGTGGTCTAGATGAGTGGAGGTCAAGCAGAGTGTGTGAAGAGCCAGAGGGCTGCTGGGTAAAGCGGCTGTACCTGCATCAACATCATTGGGCCAGCCGCTGGGCTGGGATGCTCCCGGGGCAGGAGAACGGCCCGAATAGAAGACATCGTCCACCGGGCTCTCCATCTCACTGTCATCAATGGATTTACGCTTGTTGGAGCTGAAAGAGAAAAGAAGAGAGAAGGTTAGGGGGGATTTTATTTAATGTGACAGCTAGAAGGTTTGCATGTTGTGTACTGAGAAACAGCTGAAAATTCCCAAATAGTAATGATGCAATATCATTTACATAAATATTAGTTATATTAAAAGATTTTTTAAATTTGCATTTAAAGATTTGAACTTTTCTTGACTGATTTTCTTGACCTCAAAATGGGAATGTTTCAAAGGAACAGTTCACCCAAACATTTTCTGAATATTTTCTCACTCTCAGGCCATCCAAGACGTAGATGAGTTTGTTTCTTCATCAGAGCAGATTTGGAGAAATGTAGCATTACATCACTTGCTCACCAGTGGATCCTCTGCAGTGAATGGGTGCCGTCAGAATGAGAGTCCAAACAGCTGATAAAAACATCACAATAATCCACAAGTAATCCACATGACTCCAGACCATCAGTTAACATGTTGTGAAGTGAGAAGCTGCGTGTTTGTAGGAAACAAATCCATCATTGTCACTTCTGACCAAAATAGCAGTCCATAATCCATAATAACACTTCATCCAGTCAAAAAGTCCATCTCCTGTTGTCCTCTCATAATTTGCATTTAAAGATTTGAACTTTTCTTGACTGATTTTCTTGACCTCAAAATGGGAATGTTTCAAAGGAACAGTTCACCCAAACATTTTCTGAATATTTTCTCACCCTCAGGCCATCCAAGACGTAGATGAGTTTGTTTCTTCATCAGAGCAGATTTGGAGAAATGTAGCATTACATCACTTGCTCACCAGTGGATCCTCTGCAGTGAATGGGTGCCGTCAGAATGAGAGTCCAAACAGCTGATAAAAACATCACAATAATCCACAAGTAATCCACATGACTCCAGACCATCAGTTAACATGTTGTGAAGTGAGAAGCTGCGTGTTTGTAGGAAACAAATCCATCATTGTCACTTCTGACCAAAATAGCAGTCCATAATCCATAATAACACTTCATCCAGTCAAAAAGTCCATCTCCTGTTGTCCTCTCACATCAAAATCCACTGATATATTGGTGTAAAACTGGTTTGGACTGTTTTTACTTGTAAACGGTGCTTGATCTGTGCATATCTCTCTTCTGATTCAGACAATACAACTCTTTCCCTTGAGAAAGCAATATATTATGGATAGAGCACTTGTATTTTACCCGGAAACAATGGTTTAAAGCTAAAAATATCTTGATGGATTTGTTTCTTACAAACATGCAGCGTTTCTCTTCACAAGATGTTAACTGTTGGACTGGAGTGGTGTGGATTACTTGTGCATTATTGTGATGTTTTTATCAGCTGTTTGGGCTCTCATTCTGACGGCACCCATTCACTGCAGAGGATCCATTGGTGAGCAAGTGATGCAATGCTACATTTCTCCAAATCTGTTCCAATAAACCAATTCATCTACATCTTGGATGGCCTGAGTACATTTTCAGCTAATTTTAATTTTTGTCTAAACTATTCCTTTAAATACTTATAATAATTATTACTTTATAAAGCATTACAATAGAAATTTGCTTTAAAACAGTCAACTCAAAATCATCATTGTTTCAAGAGCACATGTTATCTTAGCAGAATGAGACATTAGATGAGCAAAGACAGCAGAGTAAGACAGCAGAGCTTGAAGTGAATCAGACTACAGGAAGTGTGGAGTACCTCCGCGGGAGACTGGCATAAAACTCCATCTCAGTCCTGCAGCGTTTGAAACATGACGACAAGGCGAGAGAGAAAGAAGGGACAGGAGGAGAGAGGTAAAGAGACAAAAAGGACAGCAATCAAACAGGTGAGAGGCAGAGAAAAGGGCAGGAAAAGATAGACAGAAATATATACAAAGAGGAAAGCAAAAGGGTAAGATAAAAGATAGACAGAAATATATACAGACAAAGAGGAAGGCAAGAACGTGAGTGCTACCAACATGCATTAAACTACTAAACTAGAGACTAGATTGATTTGTAAAGCTGTTTAAGACATGCAAGAGTTTATTAGTATTGAAAAATCTAATTATGCATATGCAAATGTATTAAATAAATTGTATTATTAATATCATTTTATTTAGTAATTGAAATACATTTTACATAAAAGTAAGACAGTGCAATTTAAATGTTTTGGAAAAAATAAATCTTTCATAAAATGAAAAAAGAAAAGAAAAAGAAATGCCCCTGAAAATGAGCTGTAGGAAACAACAGCTAAAAAAAAATAAATATAATAAAGTCTTGAGAGTAGGGGGTTTCAATCTGGGGATGGAAAAGATTGCTAGTGGGTCCATAGAAAAATTGTGTAAAAATGTGAAATTAAATTAAATAAGAAAAGAAAAGAAAAAAGTAGTACATATTTTGACATTATTATTGTTTCATTTTGCTTTCTAAAGAATGATAAGAAATCATGAAATTTACCAGAATTATATGTCAATAATATTTTATTATTTTATATTTATATTTTAGAAAAAAGCCCACTTTCATTTGCATCAAAAATGTAAAAAAAAATCCTAGCATAGAATGAAAGGAAAGTGAGCTGTCTGTCTGTGTCTGTCTGTCTGTCTCTGTGTCTGTGTGTGTGTGTGTGTGTGTGTGTGTACCTGGTCGTTGGCGTGGACGTAATGGAACGGCGACCCAGGTTGATGTTGTAATATCCTGGACTGTCAAGGTCGGCCAGAGAGAAGTTGGGTCCGGTTGCTGTGGCAACTGGTGCTGAATTAGATGCAGACAGAGAGAAGTCAGATTAATCAATCCCATCATCCATCTTTGTTCTCATGACAACATAATAAAACTTTTCTTCACGTCAGATTTAAGCATAATAGAAATCATTGAAGGTAACACAAGTACATAAAAGTCTTTTTAGTTATTATTCTCTTACTTAAAAAAAAAAAATATATATATATATATATATATTATTTTTGGAAGAAAATAAGTGTTTTATATATAAAGTAGTAATACCTTTATTCAGCAAGGATGCATTGAATTGATCAAAAATGACAGATTTTCTAGAGTAGAATGAAAGGAAAGTGAGCTGTCTGTCTGTGTCTGTCTGTCTGTCTCTGTGTCTGTGTGTGTGTGTGTGTGTGTGTACCTGGTCGATGGCGTGGACGTAATGGAACGGCGACCCAGGTTGATGTTGTAATATCCTGGACTGTCAAGGTCGGCCAGAGAGAAGTTGGGTCCGGTTGCTGTGGCAACTGGTGCTGAATTAGATGCAGACAGAGAGAAGTCAGATTAATCAATCCCATCATCCATCTTTGTTCTCATGACAACATAATAAAACTTTTCTTCACGTCAGATTTAAGCATAATAGAAATCATTGAAGGTAACACAAGTACATAAAAGTCTTTTTAGTTATTATTCTCTTACTTAAAAAAAAAAAATATATATATATATATATATATTATTTTTGGAAGAAAATAAGTGTTTTATATATAAAGTAGTAATACCTTTATTCAGCAAGGATGCATTGAATTGATCAAAAATGACAGATTTTTATTTCAAATAAATGCTGTTCTTTTGAACTTTCTATTCATCAAAGAATCCTGAAACAAAATGTATAATGGTTTCCACAACAGTATGAAGCAATCGACATTGATAACATATAGAATGATTTATGAAGGATCATGTGACACTGAAGACTGGAGTAATGATGCTGAAAATGCAGCAATATTTATACATATGTTGTTTTATTTCTAGTTTTTTGGGGCTTTTTATTTGTATTACTGTTATAATTTTTAGGATTTATAATAATAATAAAAGCCTTTTTAGTTCCAAAAAAATTTTGATCTTTTCGGCTGTTGATCAGAAAGATGCTGCTCATGTGACTTACTCTGTGTCACACGGACCAACTCCGCCACGTTCCATACGCCTGACGTCACGAAGCAGTCCTGGAAACTCAAGTGCCCTGGAGTGGAAAAAAAGAGAGGCCAGAAATGAAAACACACTACATCGACAAATTATACTGGGGAAAAAAATCCCCATATTTACTCATCTGCACCTGTCAAACACACACACACACAAAATAAACTGGGCTCAACTGTCATAAAAGGGCCGGGAGCATATAATTACAGTCATCGGTTGGCATATGTTCTCCGTCTCGAAGGAATAACAGGCTACCCCGTACTTATGGTTAACTCCAACCCAGCACTCCAATCCCAGCTAAAACTTAATGAGGACACTAAAAATGCTTTATGTCATACTTAAGTGTGTGTGTGTGTGTGTTTGTGTGTGTGTGCGATGCTGCATACAAATATACAAACGTATTTGTTTTCGCTGTGCATATGGGCTTTCAATATGTATTTTGTGTGTGGGGGCAAAAAGGGTGAATGAGCCATGCATCCACACCCATGTGTAGTGCTGGCTGAGGTCAGCATGTGTGTGTATATGTGTGCTGGTTAACCGCAGCGAGGCCGGCGCATGAGCTCAGTGTCACCAGCGCCGCAGCCATTTGGTTCCCATCAGCCAATCACGGAGTGATTTATGGTGTGTGTGTGCGATGCTGCATACAAATATACAAACGTATTTGTTTTCGCTGTGCATATGGGCTTTCAATATGTATTTTGTGTGTGGGGGCAAAAAGGGTGAATGAGCCATGCATCCACACCCATGTGTAGTGCTGGCTGAGGTCAGCATGTGTGTGTGTATGTGTGCTGGTTAACCGCAGCGAGGCCGGCGCATGAGCTCAGTGTCACCAGCGCCGCAGCCATTTGGTTCCCATCAGCCAATCACGGAGTGATTTATGAGCGTTTCGCCATTCTCCGTGACAGTTGGCCTAGCAACACTTTACTATAATAAACTCGGATGGAAATCGCTTTCGCGCACGCTCCGTGTTTGTGTGAGAGTCGGGCGTGCATGTGACCTTATTATCGTAAATAAAACGGCTTACGCTGTCAATTGGGCTGCATTTGTGCATATGGAGGTCCAAGGAGAGCGCTGCTCACCCACAGATCCATCTGCTGACTGGCAGGCGGTGTGGAAAATGGTGGCTGACGGGTTGATTGTGTAGAGCTGGGATTTCATCACGCTGTTTCCACCACTGCTAACTAGAGCTTACTTGCTCGCGGTCTTTAATGACAAATTCAGATGCAATTCTATTGAGGTTAGAGGATTTAAGTGGACTGCTTCTTAAACAATAAGGGTGCTTCAATAGTTTTTGCACAATTTAAAGTTCAGCAAAGAAAGAAGCTTGTAGAAAGTACGAATAATGACTTTGCAGTGCAGAAGAACCATTTTTAGTTCTACAGTTCAGTGAACAGTTCTTAAAAGAACCATTTTTTTAGTGTGAAGAACATCACCTAAAGAACCTTTTTCCACTATAAAAACCTAAATACCTGCAATGGAAAGGCTCTTCGTGGATAATGGCAATAAAGAACATATCCAAAATAGAAAGTTCCAAAAGAGGGTTCCAAAAGTTAAATTGTTGGTCCCACTTTATATTTAGTGGCCCTAATACCTGTGTACTTACATAGTAACTAGATGTGTACGTAGTATGTAACCACAGTGTAAGTACACATACTGATATAGTTATCGTACCTCAAAGTTAACTTGTATCGTGCATGCTGCGTATTACCGATATTAACTATATGGCTCCACGTTATCGTCCGGGCAGAACTATTGTTCCAGCCACCAAAGACAGATTCACAAATAAACTGCCTGATTTATCTCAACTGCTCTGTGTACCCATAAATACACATAAACTAGACGAAATGACTAGCAACATGGGCACTATCTTCTCTAATACATTAGAAGCTGTTGCCCCCATCAAATTGAAAAAGGTTAGAGAAAAATGTACTGCGCC